AAATAAGGTCTTTTTACGCTATTTAATAAGTCTTAGTTTCGCTAAGGATTAAAAACAATAGCGATATGTTGAATAATAAGATTCATTTTATAATAATGCTTATCAATAAATGAAACACTAACTATTAAAATCCACAATATAAACAATCAATAAATGCAAAGAAACATTTATACATATGTGCACATGGTAAACAATTAATATCTTGAAAAACATGTACATATGAAAAAAACATAACATAAACAAATTAGTCAAAGTTAAATCGAATTATATGACATACACGAACTGGACAAGTGTATATTTGTTCACAATGTTATAAAAATCTCTTGGGAAACGTCAGGCAATGCATCAACTGCTGTCACTGCATTATTTAACTCATCACTATATGAAAAAGCTTTAGCTGCAGCATCAATAGCTTTTTTGAGTTGATCTTTTGGGCTAGATGTATTCTCAAATTGGTAGAATCCAAAGGAGGCACCTGCATTCATGTCAGTAGAGACGGATGTTTCTTTTATATTAAGACAAATTTTTGAAAAAATATATCGTCATAAGATTAGTGAGAAAAAAAATGAAAGCATGAAAATCTTTGAGAATACGTACTAGCAAGAAATGTTGCAATTGGTTTTAAGACACCATGCATTAATGCTGGCATTCCTCCCATTATCAATGTTTTTTTCTTTTGTCCATCAGTTCTCCAAACTACTTGTAATAAGAGCATAAGGTAAGAATAGGCAGCGTTAAAAGCAATAAGAGTAGTGACGACATTAGGATCAGCATATGATTCAGTAGCTTGTGTGTTCGGGTTAGTATACGATCTATTATGACAAATGTATGGCATAGGTAAGTTTTAATTTTATAATAAAGAAATTAGAAAAATAAGAATTGAAAATTTTTCACTTACACAAAGTTTGGATCATCCACCACAGGCCAGAGCTGATAACCCGAATCAGACGCACTCTCAACCTCATTCAAGCAATAGTTAAATCTTGCATAATGTGATTCATCGTATACTCCTCCTGTAATTGTTCCGTTGATTCCTTTACTTTCTTTTTTAATTCCGTCAATTGTTTTCACTATTTCTTCAACTGTTCCCTCGACAGTTCCATTAGTTATGATTCCATTAATTTCTCCATTTATTTTTCCATATAATCTATCACCAATTATGCAATGATTTGCGTATGATTTCACATACATCGTCCCTTTAATTGAACCATTTTTTTTATCTTGTACGGTTATTTGCCCTCTTGTTTTTGATGTTAATGTTGCTTTGATTGTTCCACGGATGTTTACTTTCTTTCCAACTTCAATTTTTCCACTAATTTTTACATTGATCGTGGCTTCTAGGCTTTTGGTATTACAACCGCCTCCTTCACCCTGTACATCAGCCATCATAAATTGCATATAAAATAATTGTCACTAATATATATATATATCTTCATAGAAAAGAAATAGAACTATACTAAACCTGACTAATGATCAATTCAATAGCTTTTATAGCAGAACGAAGACAATCGACGATAATCAATCCTTCGTTTTTATCACTGGTACTGGGTGCGTAACCCATTCCGGGTCCAAGCTGCGTCCATACAAAAATTACTAAGACCATCTTGCAAGGCATAAAAAAAAAAAAGGAAATACAATTACTCACCTGAAATAGTTTATCATATTTAATTTGATTATCAAGTTTTCTAAACATGTTTTCAATACTCTTGTAGAGATCGCCGATACTGTCAGCATTAATATCTTCTGTATCATCTATTGCAGGTATAAATTGCCCATCATCATCATCATCAGGTTTTTCAATAAGTGCAAAATTTTCGAGAGTAGTCTTATTTGCTTTTGATAGATTGACAGTAATTGTGCCTAAATTAATTAATAAAATTAATATTGAATATATTGTCTTAAATAATAAATACATTATAATATCGCAATAAAGAATGTAGAAAGAAAAAAGCTTGATCGAACATATAATTTTGTTCCGACTCATTCTATTGCATTTCACCGAATATATTATTTTAATAAGAACAGTATATTTTACAAATATATAAATTTTAATAAATATATATTACAGTCAGACCTCCCTAAATGTACGTTGTCGGGACCAGCTCTAAGAAGGGTTACAATTAGAGAACACTAATAAAATCATAATGTGATCATTGTCTCATGATAAATATGACTTTAGTAGCATAGAAATAATAAATTTAATTGGCTGGATGCATTTATGGAGGGAGTTTTTATAAATGGGCCAGACAATTAGCGTGCACTTAGAAAATAAAGAACGTGCATTTATCTATAAGTCCCATTGTGGGACTAGCCTTCTATCGTGAATTTAGAGAGGTGCTGCATTTAGGGGTTGTATTTAGGGGTCTGACTGTAATTAGTATTTATAGCCATTTTCATTCTTGGACAACCAAGAATTACCGATGATGAATCGTTAAGTTTACTATTTTGGCAAATAAATAACTTATCGATTCGGTCATAGGTAACTTTTCATGAATAACGAAAATAGTTATCAAATTAAATTCGGTAAATGCCATTAAATAAATATTGTTTACCTTGCTTTATATGCGGAAGAGGGTTTGGATAGAAAGGAATCATGTCTTGGGAATAGAATTTGGGTTGTCGTCCTACGAATAGATTAATATTATTTTTATGCATAATGATTCTGAATTAAAATGTTTTTCGTTTATACCAATAGCAGCAATAAGATTCGCCACAAGTGACAAATGCAACATTTCCTCTGCAGCGACACGTCGGATTTGACGTATCACTTCATCACCAGTCTCCGTTCCAGGTTTTATCGAATACATGGCGTAAAGATATGCTGGAATAGTAGTTAGTTCGATCGTCATCGCAATTTTAAGCATTTCATGGAGCTGAAGAATAATACTGTTAATATACATGGTGCTGTGAATGTAATTAGTATTTTATTAAACCATAAAAATAGCTCACATCATCTATGGTCGCGTTATCTACCAAAGATTCTGTATCTAGTTTGAAAATTTCTTCTCGTTCAATTTCAAAGAATGCCTTCTTGAAGTCGCTATCTAGTTCTTTCTCGACAATAAAACCTAATCTATATCGTTAAAATCGATAAATAGGATCGGGTTATATCATATTGTAAATATAGTGTAATATTTCAATACACTGCTAGTTTACCTGCTCCATTTCTCGACCATATCCATGTCTCCCCATTTGGGCATACCTCTTTGTGGCTCATCGGTTCTAAATCCACGTGTCCAATCCTTAAAATTACCTAAATTAACACCATATTTCTCAACTTCTGGTTTTTGACCCTAAAATTTAAATTATTAATTATATATACTTTATCAATTCGTTATTTTCTGTTAATTCTGCCTACATACTTCCGGAATTACTATATCAGGTCTTTGGGCTGGCCACCAATGTGTGTTACATTCAAAAAAATCTGCTTGCCAAGGTAAAGCCATAAATGCATTAAGGTCACCAGGACTTATATTTTTCTCATTGATCCTGTGCAGAATTATTATAACAATAAAAATGTATCAATATATTAGTAAGATAGTAGATTATAATTTACATAAAACATACCTGAAATCATATCTCTCATCGAATGTATTTTTATCATAAGCAACAAAAGTCATTTCAATTCCGGGATAGAATGCACCTCCAACACACCATTGAAGCGCAGCTTTGTTAAGACATTTTATTTGATTCTGAACATCAGAAACAATTGCTTCAAATGACTCAAAAGAACTGCCATCTTTACTATACTGAGGATAATTATAATCCATTTTGTCAAATTTATAATGGTATTGTGTTGGTTCATTCCCTGGCTCAAAATCACCATCAGCCCATCTTTGCAGTAAGCTTATAAAAAGCAATGCGTTAATTCTGGTTAAAAATATTAAACATAATTGATAAATGCTTACATATATTGACCGCGAGTGACGGTCAAGTACGTATCTGGAACGGTAGGAGTAGTATCACCATCATTTCCAGATAAAGGAGGCATAAAATAGTCATAAGCCTGGCCGTTAAATTCAGCAGGAGATGCCAAATATTTAGGTATTCGGACGCGAGAGAGGATGTTTTTCCTATGAAATGGTAATTAAATTAAATATAATCATAAAATGAAGGTAAATTATGATTTCAGAATGACAAACCTCAAGTCTTTATCATTATTTCCTGGATTTTTCAACTGCTTTTCTAGCTCAGGGTTTAAAAAGTCACCTTGCTTATATAAGCCATGACCCCTAAATGCCATCTCATTAACCCATGAAGCCCTACAAACAGCTTCAAACATTGGTCGGATATCTCGATAATAATTTAATATATATTCCTGTAAAAAATAAATAAATAAATGAATGAATAAATATAAATTACATATAATCAAGTTTTTTTTAGGTAGCATAAATAATGTTTAGACCTTTGAGCCCCTTTGATGAATTGGATTATCTAGATCGAATACAACATTTGGATTGATTGGATTCTCCGGGTCGACGGGATGTTGCGTTTCTGATATAACTTGATATAATGGTACCAGGTTAGCAATACCTGGTGCGAACTTTGGGGGCGCCACAAGGACCCATGACTTGCTCTCTAGATTTATCAAGTATATATTACATGTCATTAATCACTATTACATTATCATTATAAATATTCTTTTTTTTTTTTTTTTAGGTATGTACCTTTATTCTTGAGTGTCTTTCCATTAATTACAACGGTAGCATCTACAGATCCATCAGAAGTGTCATCGTACCAATAATCGTTGTTTGCGTACTGAGTGATTAAGACACCTGTGGTACAAATTGGTATAAGCAATAGCTTAAAATATATTTCCAGTATTAATAAATACTAACCATCTTTGACGCTTCCAGACTCTCCTTTTCCACCAATAACTATCAAACTCCCCGATTTTTCAAGTATTATTTTGCCTAAAGTGAGTTCCTTCCCGCTTTTATCGTCGCTGCCATGACGATAAACGTTCGCCTTTATTTCTTTTTCTTTTACATTTAAATTGTTCGTGGACACACTTTCCGATTTTATTGCTTCTAATGTAGACCTCTCATAAGGCCAATCTAAAGAGGGTTTTTTTATATAATTTATTAATATTTTGAGGTTGAAAGATCTAAACTATTTATAAATACACACCGGCATTTCGTTTAGGATTACTTTCTTTATATTTCAATATACCAGAAAATTGTGTATGGGCAGCTTTTCTATTAGCAAGCTCGACAGTCCAAGTAATCTCTATTTTCGGATCACCATCTGTAAGTTTGATTTCCCGTACGGGTTTGCCATCCTTATCATAACCATAAATTCTGAACCTCGCAGCTTGTGGCTTTACTTTGCCATCTTTCTTGAAAGAGAAACTTTCATCTCCCTCTATGTTGCGATAATTTCAGGAAAAAAAACCGTTATTATTATTTGCAGGCATAATTATGTATAACAATGAGACTAATCATGTGGTAAGAGCTTTCGATTTGTTATGACTTCTGAACTTTTATACTTTATAGATTTTTTTATTAACCAATGTTTACGTATCCAAAGATTTATATAGAAAATCATAAAGACATAAAAATTAACAATTAATTTTTCATAACATACTTCCAACATATACTCCAGGAATTTCGGATCCCACATAATATTCATCAGAGTTACCAACACGTGCAACGTTGAGAGCCGGAAAAATTGCAAATGACACGATTCTATCGTAGTCGTTAAGAGACATAGCGAATATACTATAAAGAAAATGAGATTAATAATAATTTTTTCTCAAAAAATTTAAAGTGCGTGCACTAATGTACCGTGTACAAGAAAGAGATATTTATAAAATAAACATAGTCTATAAATGTATGTAAATTAGCGTAATGGGTTCTCCGTCTTGTATTTAATATAAGCAATTTGGTCGCTTTGCATTATCGTTATCGTTGATGTTCTTGAATTTACGTAAGATTATTTATAAAATAAACATAGTACACGCATGTGAATTAGGCGTAATGGGTTCTCCGTCTTGTATTTAATATAAGCAATTTGGTTGCTTTGCATTATCTATCGTTGGTGTTCTTGAATTTGCGTAAAATTAATATTGTTATGCCCCAGATTAGGCGAAACCAACTTGATTCTGTGTTTTACATTATTCCCCAGCGTTCCCCCCTCCCTCATAGTAAAAAAATTTAGATAAATATATATAAGGCTACGGAAAATTTTTATATAGTCACGGAACAGTTCGGAAAATTTTACCAGGAATGGAGTATCACGAAATGTATGGTTATAATGTATTTTTAATGGTGTATGTTCGCAAAATCTTATAACTGACTTGCATCGCATGGCTGTGTATTAGTACGTATTTAAGATTATCATTGTTAGATGCGTTATTTCTAAATTTGCATATTGTACAGATTTTGTCTTGATTATTTATTGTGCTATTGATGCGTTCTAATGTGATTTCAACCGGTGCTAACCAAATATTTATTTGGTGTTGGAGAAAAATGTATTCATTATTAACGTTAAAGCGTGTAATTTAAAATTTGTGGATCGGACTGGTTTTAACTCGATTACAATTTCTAATTGCGAATTCGTGCTAACCAAATATGTGAATTTTTTTATATTATCGGTGATGACAAGATGGAACATAAAAAAAACCTTTATCGTCATTGGTTTTTATAAGTTCTTTACGTTAAAGTCTGTATGAGTTTGATCAACTCAGTTAATTATACTATATATCGATATGTTTAAATGCTCTGACTAATGCAATGTTCACATAAGCTGTTCCGTTATAAAAATTATGTTGAATTAACTTTCTGTATGGATTATTTCACGGCTCGTACGTACGTACGTACATTGCCTGATAATTAATCAGCATTCTAAAAGATAATTCTTGATTATAAAAAAAAAGAAGCAAATAATACCTTAAAACGACTATTGTTTATAAATCATGAAATTTTGAACCTGTGTTTCACAAAATTAGATATTTTTGCATTTCGTCCACAAAAATCTTGATTTTGATTGGATGTAGTGATCGAATGATTTTCAGACGCACTGATCTACGTTCTTGTTAACCCAATATAAAGATCGTAATAAAATTCTATACCAGATACTGTGTACGTTGTGTAAGGGAAAATCGAGTTTGTCGATCGCTGCAGTTTTGTAGTAACACAAATCTTGGCATCACGAAAATCTGTGATTTCCGTGATTCTAGAGCGCAGGATCTACGGACAGATTATACATAGCAACCGCATAAAAATTTGCGGTCTCGTGATGATATACGCTAACATCTCATTGGTCAAACAAACCG